ATTCATCCTGAAAGAATTGCGAGGTCACTTGCTCAGGTGGTGCATACATCGTAGTATTTGTCCCCCACACTCGAGTTGATCCTTGACGTTAAGATACAAATCCACCCATCTTTTCTGAATCTGAGCATTGAAGACTTTCAAGCATCACCTTAATATCGTTTAACCATAAATAAGCATCCATAGGCCCTTCATCCTCTTCTCCCCGGAACTCAAGAGCTGCCAAACTTTTAAGCTCTTTTGGGATTAACATCTTTGATACTAGAGGAGTAGGGGGAGGTGGAGGAGGTTGAAATCAAGTCTAGATTGCATTGAGAGCCTGCATAAAAGCTCCATACTCTGGCACTGGCATACCCTGATGTACTGGTGCACTAGAATTTTCAGACATGATCGGATGCTCACTATTAGCTTCATTGCTCTCGCTACCTGGCCCTTCTCCAACTTCTTATTCAGTCGCTCTCCGCAAATTTATAGATTTCGACATCTAATAGGACATACATAATAATAATAACTCAAGTTAGTAAGGAGTGACATAAATCATATTCCAATGACACCATATCAGTAACTTTGACATCTTAGTGGCATGTAAACCCTTTTTAAAGTAAAATACACACGATTTCGGTCGAGAATCGGCTAAACCTGTAACTCTGATACCAATAAATGTAACACCCATTTCCCATATACGTTTCCATACACTAGTTACAGATGTCACTTGACTTAAAACATTTTCATTTTTTAAAAAAAACCCATAAAATTTTTGTTTCTATAAATAAAATATTTTAATGTAATAATAATAAAACGTTCGTTAACTTTTAGTATGTAAAATAGTCTTAAAGTTCTAACATATTAAATATTACAATCATCATAAGTCTCATATGTTCCAGAGCATCATCATATATCTATTACATGCCATCTAATAATATCAAAAGTATACATATTTGCTATACAGTTACTAATGAGGCAACCTTTGATTTATGATATCAGCTGCACTCCCTACTTCGCTCGTATGCTATTACCTACACGTGAAACCAACACACACTAAGTATTCACTTAGTGAGGAATAATAATACAAATGAGGTGTAACCAAAACATAAGTATATCATAAACTTTCAAAATACAAATTAAATCATAATAATACATAAAATTGGCCTGATAAACCAAATTTCTTTCACATAACATGCGAAACAATATTTATTATGCCCAACATAACTATCAAGCAATATTTTTTCAAATTATTCTTTTAAGTGCCCTATGTATGTTGAATGAGAATGCAAGGTACATGAGTTGCACCTAAGTGTCGAAATGGTAATTCACAAACTCATTATGAATTCCACGGATGCACACATAGTGCCAAAATGGTAATTCACAAACTCATTATGAATACCATGGATGCACACATTGTAACATCCCAAAAATCGGGTTAGTGACCAAATTGTAAGATTTTAAAACTTCATGGTCAAATTAGATAAATTGAAAAGTTCAGGGATTTACTAGGAAATTATTTGTGTAGGATTGATTAGAAAGAATTGAAAGAAGGAAGGGCAAAAGGGTTAATAGACAAGAAAGAAATTAAAAAGTTCTTACTGGTGTAATATATATACACGTGGAGATGAAGAGAAGAGATATCTAGAATTCTCTTTATCATTTCTTCATCCTCTCCACCGAGACTCCATAACTAAGGTAATAAATTTTCATTTAGTTATTTCTTGAAATTTTGATTTGGTTTTGGTTAATGGGTTATTAAGGAAGCTTGAGAAAGCTTAAGGACTTATAGAAACTAAAACATGGATAAGTTATGGGAGATTTAGTAAAAAGGGTTTTTGAGTGAATTGGTGAGAAAGAGCTAGTAAATGGATTTTTAAGTGAAATTTGACTTGTCATAAGTTGGAATAAGAAATCTAAAGTATTGGAATAGGATTTGGAACATGTGGAATATTTTGTAAGATTTTTAGTTTCAAGTAATATTATGGGATTTTGGATGTTTAGGTGTATTAAAGTGATATAAGCTAGTTCTAATAAGTGTTGTTAAGTTTAAAGGGTTGAAAGGAGTTTAAAGTGGAAGATTTAAGTGAGTTTGGTAAATTTTTGGGTTTAAATAAGTAAGTTCAAGGCAATGGGTATCGGTACTGGATGAACTGTATTGATATTTCAAAGCAAAATAAGTGATATCGAGGTTTGGGTATCGATACTGTAAGAATAATATCGATACTATAAGACAAAATTGTATGAATCCTTAAATGAGTATCGATACCAAATGCGTAGTATCGATACTAAGGGTATCGATACCAATGTAAATGTATCAGTACCATTTTTAGAAATGAATTCCAAAATGTAGAATGGGTATCGATACTAAAGTATAATATCGATACCATAGTAAAGGAAGTATCGGTATTGGACCTGAGGTATCGATACTGTTCAGATGGAAATTTCAAATAAGTGCTTCTTTTAGACTAAGTTAATGATAAGTGATTCTTAGTGATTCGAACTCTGACATTCATACCAATTGTATTTTTGTGTAAATATCGAACGAAATCAAGTACCAGAAGATTCAAACTTATAAGATCCATCAAGAGTGATAAAAAATTTTCTTTGACTAAGTGAGGTTAAGGTGAGTGCATACTACTATGAAATATGATTATATGGAAATAATACTTGTGATGAGTTTATTTCCAATGTTTGATTGAATGATTTCATGATTACAAGTATATTATTGATATGATTTCGATGTGTACATGAATACATGCATATATCTATATGTTACATGCACTGTTATACATGAGCTATGTGTTATATGTTATTCTATGTGTTACATGATCTATGTGGATACATGAGAACAAGATATAAGTTATGTGAAAATAGTATATGTGAATACATGCCTATGTAATAAGCTATGTAACATTTACCTATGTGATACATGAAAATGTGATATATGTTATGTGACCATGATCTATGTGATTATACATCTATGTGAAACAATCTATGTGAAATGTGTAAATGGTATATCCCATAAGTATGTGATATGAGAGCTAAAGGTATAATTGGCATAATAAGAGTCGAGGGTTCTACGCGGTCCTTCGGGACAATTCTACGTGGTCCTTCGGGACATTTCTACGCGGTCCTTCGAGACAATACTATGTGCTCCTTCAGGACATTTCTATGTTGCACTTCGGTGCAATTTCTATGCGGTACTTCGATGCAATTATACAAGCTGTAGTGACAGCATTTGTGTACAACCTCAATGCACTCACATACCTTAAGTTCTCAATGATGTACCATGGGCTTTAAAAAGAAATATCTTGAATAAATATTGCTTGATATTCTATATGTCTTGTTTGATGAAATGCATAATTATTTCTGTACACTATGTTCTTTATAGAAATTAAGTATATGACTGCATATTTAAAGTTTTCCTTTATGCTTATATGCCACACTAAGTTAATGACTTAGCGTGTGAATGTTTCACACGTAGGTACCGAGAAGCAGGAAGAACAAAGCCAGGATCCTACAAGACTGCATATTTACACCGTATGTTATTTTGTTGTATTAAATATGTTGGCATGTAATTTAAAGATTTAAATTGCATATGCTCTGGTCGATTTTGTGACAAACTCTACTTTAATTATGTAAAATATTAACTTTTATTTTCAATATAAGTTTGAATATTCTTATTTAGTTTCTTAAGGGTTCAATTGTTTTTTATAACAACAAAAGTTTAGACTTTTCAATTGTATTTTAAATGTAAATGATTTGAAAAGTTAATGTGACACCTCATAGTCGTATCCAGGTCGGATACAGGTTGGGGGTGTTAGACACATAGTGCCGAAAGTACACATAGTACTGATACGAAAATGCAACATATGCATTAAACAAAATTTATCGATAACCATCATGCACAAAGTATGTAGAAATGCACCTATGACTCTTAATGCATCTATGACCCTCCTATAGTATCGATACTTCTCTTCCATGGTGCTGCTACCCACTTCAGTATCGATACCATTTTTGCATTATGGAATCTATTTTTCAATTACAATATCGATACCTTCCTCTTGGTATCGATACCTCCACATCAATATCGATACTACTTTCATCAGTATCGTATCGATATTGTTCATCATGTTCATCCTCTTTCCTCCAATTTAACCTTATAGTATCATATTGTTCTTCTAGTACCGATACCCTTATCAGATTTTACTTATTTCACTTTGATTTTTACCCAAATTTCGCCTAAATCTCGTTCTCTTATCTCCAACCATACCATAAAATTCATTATCACTTATCCCTACTAACTTACATCCATAGATCTCCTTATAAGATCTAAACTCTCCAAAGAACACTTAAAACTAAAAATCACACCAAATTTTCAACCAAGTTTTCAATCATTTCTAAGGCTCCAAATCTCTTATTTACTTCTTTGACAATACAAATATGTTGTTAAAATCCCATTACTGACCAAATTTCATCAAATTACTTAAAAACTCATTTTATTAAATCACAAATAAATCAATAATCTCTTAGTTTTAATCATCCTTAAACTTTCCTTAAGCCTCTATATCACTTAAGGCTTCAAAACCAACCCAAAAACGAAAGGAAAAACCAACTTGAAGAAATATTACCTTCACTATGGAGGTACGAGGACGAGAAGAAGAATAAGAGTAGAGAACAAAGTTTTCAGCTTTTTTCTTTTTTCCCTCTTTCAACCCTTAATAAATATCCCTAAATGAATGAATATTAAATTCATTTCCTTCTAAAAGACCATAATGTCCCTTCATTCTTCCATTCTTAAAAATAAGACTTAAACACAATTTCCTAAATCAATCCTTATACGTTTCAATTTATTCAAATTACCCACCAAATTTTTAATCCTTTCACTGTAATCACTGACCCGATGTTTGGAGTATTACACTTATCCTGTAACACGTGTACGATATTCAACTACTCTGGTTCCCGAAAGCCTTACTATGAAAGGTTTGGAAGAACCAAACATATAGTTTACATGAAAAAAAAACAAATTGCTGTTCTAAAGATATTCAGAGCCATGACAGTTGGTAGGGAATTGCAATAATGAACCCGCAAACTGAAGAAGTAACAGAAATGGACCATTCACCTTCAAATCCACATACGTACGATGCTTTGCATTGTCAAAAGCGCGTAATTTGACATCACGCCACCTACAAAATTTAGAACAACCTTAGGAACCGAAGCACATGGGTCTACAACCAAGCATTTTTGGCAAAATGATAATTCATTAGAATAACCTTCCGGTTCCTAGTTTCTCGACTGCCTGGACCAATGCTTCTACTTCCGAAACAGATAAGGGTCTTCTGATAAGCCGCTGGACAAACTCATGATGTCTAACTCTGTGATGAATCGGAACCACAGTCAATGCCTCCACACTAATGGCCGATATTGATAGTACAGATTGAGAACTCGGACTAGTAAAACTAGTTGATATGTGCGGAATAGATTGAGAACTCGGAATAGTAAAATAGTCTATATGGCCGATATCGATAGTATAGATTGATAACTCGGAATGGTAAAATTAGTTGATATGTGCGGAACAGATTGAGAACTCGGAATAGTAAAATTAGTTGATATGTGCGGAAGAGACGGAATTAGATGCAAGTCACCTTCAGCGCCATTGTTGCAACCAGTCACAGGAGGTATAATCTGCTTTGCGAGGGACAGAGGTGCTATAATCTGCATGTTTCTGGGCTCCAACATAAACCCCAAATTACGATGCTTGCTGTCTCGAGAAATACCTGTCTGTAGTAGAGTTTTTCTGTCGTCTCTAACCTTCTTTCCTCGAAGAAGGATGCCGACACTTAAGCCATCTCCGAGGTACAGTAGTTACTGCCTCCATGACTGTCCTGTAAAAACACCACTAGACATTAGCACAATGCAGGTATAGAACCAGTATGCTTGACCTCATCTCTGATAAATTCATACATTAGTTCTTAAAACATTAAAGCCACAAAAGCACAGTTTATTGGTAAGAATATTGCGTACTTTCAGTGAACCAACAGTAGCAGTTGTAGGAATCTAAACTAAGAGCTCTGGAACTGTAAAACGATTTAATCCGAATCTTCACTGAATAAACCCGACAACGAAAAGAAAGAAAGGTTAAAGACTGGATGGATCACACGGCCATCTGATCAGATACTAAAACATTGCATTAACGATCTTCATACCATTACGTTATCGGCAACCAAGAAGCAGACGAAGACTTGCAATTGACGATTCCACTCTAATGGCTGCACGTAAGAGTTCGGGTTATTCAGCAAAAACTGAACAAAAAACAAAAGCTGGTAGACATATTGAACCTGCACTAGAGTTGTCACCACCGCTTCTCTTGTTACCCGAATCGAATCTGTTATAAAGCTGAAAGCCTCGATGAGAATGGGCGGTGACTGAAGAAACATCTTCTCTTGAAAGGAGAGACCCTCTTTGATCTTTGACGAATATAACTAATTCCCCCATCACCGGAAAGCATTCTTCTTTTCCCATCTGAAAACATCAGTTTATCAGGAAATGGCATTTAATCGAGAAGGTAAATTTATGAAAGCTAAAAGAACAGATAAAGGAATGAATGCCTATCGTATCCAGTAACATGAGCAAGAACTCATTTACTAGTCGCAAAGTTGAAAGAATTCAATAGACTCTATCAAGACATCTAGAAGTATATTCATACTATATGAGCACAATCCATTATTAATATGCAGAATGGTCATATACAATTTCTGATGGAAGCCCCACCATTTGAATTAGTAAATACTATCCGATGTCGGGATGAAGACAGGTTCTTAATTCCTCGATCCGCAATGCTCGATGGTACCCTAAAAGCCTTCAATGTGGTCGCTGCCTGACTGCAACCGAAATAATCTTTTCATCATCTCTATTGAATGTCTCTGTAGTACCGGAATGCCTAGAAGAACCAAAAGTTATCCAGTTCTTGAACATGGATGCCCTGCTTACTGAATAGAAAAAACCAGGATGTTTGTGGTCCCTTTCCGACACATCCAAACCACCTGTACGTGGAATAGTTTCACTTTTTACAGTTTGAATAATTGAATGCTCACCTCCAGCTTCCTCTACTTTCGCTTTGAAAAATTCCGGAGATACTAGAGAAGGAATGCCTACTAAAGCAGAAGGGTTTTACATTTCTACCACTGACATTAGCCAACTGATCAAAGCTCTTTAAATTTGAACAGGTTTTCGAATTAAACCGGTACAGAGCACAGGAAAACTTGTTCAATGCATAGATTCGGCGGTAATTGATAAAGTTTTTCTCATCACAAGTTCCCTGATCAGAAAGGCTGAACTTCGAAGATTGCCTCTCACCGTCTTGTTCCTGCAACAGTTGACCGGCTACACTAACCAGAATTTCGAAGTACGTTTCTGATTGTCCCCATTTTTCTTCTTAATTGGCACTCTAACCTAAAACCAGTGGTGAGCAATGACAATATCAAAACTACTATCTTCAAGCATAAAAGAAAAACAGTATATAGACCATCTCAGAACGTATGCATTTCTTTACCCATGTTGATCTAGAAGCTTGAGGGAACACAAGCACCTGGTAGCCGTTGAAACCGTATTCCGATATTGTCTACGACACATGTCTTAGGCATTCATCGGAAAAAGAAAGGAATTCATTAAGGAAAACTAACAGGAAGACTAGATTGTGCAAATGAGACATAGCTACGGCACAATACATGATAAGTATTTTATTTGGTTAATATTTTATTTTTAAATTACTCCTTAATTATTGGTTTTGTGGCTTATTTGTTCGTTTTGATTCATTTTCTGTGCAGGACACTAGATTTTGGAAATTACACTAAAAGAACATAATTCTGTAATTTTTTTATTTTCGGAATCAAAGTTGGATTAGTGGGCATGACTTCGGGCACGACACATCTTACGAGGCGATGACGTCAGTACCTTCTAGAAAGTTCAATCAACGCTTCTAGAAGAACGAATGGATCAGCCGCACGTTTCTGCAATTCGGATTTAAATTAAACTCATGTTTTAGGATATTATTTTAAAATATTATATTATATTTTATCTTATCTTTGTTTTAGGTATTTTAGTTTAAATAATTTTAAGTATTTTAATTATGATTGAAGATACTCATTTTTTTTTCATTTGAATATTATTTATATTATTATAATTATAATTATAATAATTATAATAATAATTATTATATATATTATTATATATATTATTATTATTAAAAAATAATTACAAGCCCAAATCGAAGGCCCAACCAGAACCGGCCCAGACCCAAAAGGAAACCCTAAACCAATTTAAGGTTTCAGCTAGGGTTTCTAAACCCTAGAACTCCAGCCGCCTCTGATGATTCCAGAAGGCCAGCCGCCGCCTCTGCCAGGTGGTCCAACGTCCAGCTGCCGACACTCCTGTGCCACGCGGCCGTCGCCGTTTCCAAGAGCATTCCAGCCGCCCCTCGTCGAAGGCTCCAGAAGACCCAGATGGCCACCTATGTTGCTGCTCTAGGGGTGAGTCACCACATAGTTCGATGACTCACCGAAATCAACCCTTTTACCCAGTCCGAGACAAGCGCCGGTGATGGCTATAAAGCCATCGACCACCTGCAAACAAGGAGAGATCGAACAACAACAAAAAAGTCACTACAACAGCAACCCAAGAGAAAAACAGAAAGCAAAAAGAAAAAAAAGAAAAGAAGATACAGAGAGCAACCCAGCAACCATAATAGCAAGGAAAATACGAGGGATACTTACAAACAAAGCCCCGCCGTCGCCGGAGTTCACTCGAGCCTCCAAACCTCACCAAAGGCCTACGAAAACCCGAAGGTATTTTCGTAGATTTGCTCCGATCGGGAGTGTTTTAAGAGAAACGGTCATCAGAACCATCAATAGGATGGTCCGATCTGTATTTTGGTGTAAATTTTTTTTTTTCCGGCCACCGGATGCGGTGGCCGGTGGCGGAGTCAACATCGGAGAACGGCTGCCGGGCGGTGCCGCTTCTCTCAGTTTTAGAGAGAAGCGAGAGAAATGATATTTCTCTTCTCTAGAGAGAGAAGAGAAATGAGAGAGCTGGCCCGAAGGGCCAGCCGTTTCGGGTATAAATACCCCTTCCCAAACGACGCCATTTTGGGAGGGGTATATCTGTAATTTCGTGCATGGCCAAACCCTTTCCGTAGCCATCCTAGTTTGTAATCCTTACATTTTAGCCACTAAATCAATTTATAATCCTTTTAATCCGGTTTAATAACTTTAATTTTATTTATTTTAGTCTTTTGCATAATAATAGATATTTTAAGTAAATAACCAATTTAGTCCTCATAACTTTTTTAATTAATATTTTAAACCCTAAATAACATGTTTTAATTTCTTTTAATTTGACATTCGAATTTAATATAATTTTATTTTAGTCCGTAAATTAATAAATGAGTAAAATAACATGTTTAATCCCTGTAATTTTAAATAATTAATTATGAATTAGGTATTTAATTCTATTAGGTTATAATTTAGTCACTAATTTCAATTTTTATTTATTTTTTACAAGTTTTATATATAGTTTTAATTTTATTTATTGTTTAGTTATATGTTAATATGTTTACTTTTAATTATTATTACTATTATTATTATTATTATTATTATTTAGCCATAAATATATATATTTATATAATAAATAATATTTATTTTATTTATTAAAATCTTATTTAATTATTTTTAACTTATTTTAATCATGTTTTAAAATTTATTTATTTTTCAATATTAAGAAAGGGCAGTCTTAAAATAACTGGATGTCCATTTTCTGATATTTTTAAATAAATAAATATCCAATTTTATAAATTATATATTAATTGTTTTAATTATTTATTTATTTTTTAATATCGAAGAAAAGAGATGTCTTTAGGCACCTAGAAGTCCTTTTCTGATATTTCTAAATAAATAAATATTTTATTTATAAATATATATAAATTAATATTTTTTCATAATTATAATTTTGAAATAATAGGATTATAAATCAAATATATTTTGAATTTTTAAATTTCTAATTATAAGAGACAATTTATAATTAAAAAGTACCAATTTTGGGTGTTGTAGGGGTGCTAATCCTTCCTTAAATGTAACCGACCACGAATCCCTTTTTATTATTAAAAAGAAAGAATTTTTGGTTAAAACGCAGATCAGTTTATCTTTTAATCGATGTTTTCTTAAAAACTCTTTTAAAGGATGATTTTTAGGTATTCAACCTACCTGACCCAAAAGGCCGATGGCGACTCCCAAATTATTTATAAAAAACCATTTATTCCTATCACTTTTCCCGCCAAGTAAAAAATTCGTGCCCGGACGAAAACCGATTACGACAGCTTGGCGACTCCGCTGGGGATCGATCAAACTTTTAAAATCAATTATAAATTGTCTCTATTAATTATAAATAAAAACTCATATATTTAATTTATAATTCTTTCTTTTCAAATTTTTTATATACTTATTATTTTTATAGTATTTATATTAATATTTCATTTTACTTGCAAGTATTTTATTTCATTATTTATTTTTCTTTCAGAAGTTTGAACATCTTCGTGAGAATTTATTCTTCGTGTCAAACCTAGCAAGTAACTTTCGAGGTTCATATGCTCTATGTCTTCATGAGAATTTATTCTCCGTGTCAGGCATAGAGAAGTGTATCCCCTCGAATTGAACTCGATCCACTTTAGTATGTGATGGACTAGGATTGAGGGTTAACAGCCCAAGGGGTCACTATCAAAGACAATTCGTATACCTTTATTCTTAGATCTGAAACCCTGCATATAATAAACCCTAGAAACTCTTCCAATCTGGAGCCATGCCGAAATTTTGTCCAAAATAGGTGTACACACAGGAGAAATGAATTCTAACTTTTCTTTTAATTTATTTATTTTCTTACTGAATAAATTGCATGTTAATTTAAATTATTTAAAGTATGAAGAAAGCATGTTTAAATAAAAATATTTAGGTAGACATTATTATCAAATTATTTTTCCTTTATTATGTAAACTAATTCATTTTTTTTGTGTTCTTTATTTCTTCTGTTTGCATAGCATCATACAAGATAAAAGGCATTGATCCTCGTGTTAATTATCTCATTGGAAAACATTCATCCATGGATAAAAAATGTTCAAATCAAATAGTTCTAAACTCAGAAGTAAGATAGTGGGCTGAGGATTTACAAAGACAAGGGGGAGACAGTCTGCAGGATGACTATATATATGAGTTAGCCAGTTATGCTCCAGTTTCACTAAAAAGAAATGATATGCAAGATTTGCGAAGCATTTGGGAGTGTTGGGACTCAAACAAAAAGTTGCAGTTTTATCAGACTTACGGAGACATCCCATATTTGCTCTATGTCGAAGTTGATGAGGACTTACTTCGAGCCCTAATTCAATTCTGGAATCCAGGGTACAATTGCTTCACTCTCAATAAGGAGGACTTGGTTCCTACTATTGAAGAGTACACAACTTTGCTACATATAGAAGGGGCTTTGGGGAATCGAATTTATTCAAGGTCAATTAAAACTCAACCTTTTCGAGTTAAATTAGCAAAAATTGTTGGAGTACGAGAGGAATGGGTGGCATCCCGTACAAAACAAAAGGGCGAAAGCGAAGGCATTGCTTGGACCAACATCAAAGAACTTATTCAGAGTCATCCAGACACTAAAGTACGATTCGATCTCTTTGCTATGGGTATGTATGGTATGGTCATCTTCCCAAAAGTATTGGGATATATTGAAGCTGCAGTAGTAGATTTGTTTGAGCAGCTACCAAAAAAGATTAATCCTGCATCTACAATTCTAGCAGAGACTTTCAGATCGTTAAACGCTTGTAGAAAGCTAGGAGGTGGACGATTCTCAGGGTGTACCCAATTGTTATATGTCTGGATCCGTAGCCATTTCTGGAGGATAGAAAAGGTTTCATACCGGCGCTTTAATATGGATTACTCACCATTAAAAGAATTTCTGGAGCAAGAATGCCCGAAAGAAATTACGAAAGATATGTGGATTAATGCCTTTCGAAATCTGCAAAGCGATGACATTGTTTGGTGAGCCCCATGGAAAATCCAAAGGGAATTCTTTTACAAATGTGGGGATTACAACTGGGTAATGCTGCTCGGATTATGTGGAGGAATTGGATATGCACCACTTCTGGTCATAAGACAATATGAAGGTCATCAATTTGTACCTGTCACTGCTGGATTACATTCGTCTGAGTTCGCATTCCACAGCAAAAATTATAAAAGAAATATCATGGAGGCCTTTACAGCTTGGAAAAAAACTTTTTGTATCCGAGCTAAAGTAGCAAAAGAAATGTTAACTCCTGATTATGAGGAACGGAGATCTGTCAGGAAAAATGAAAATATCCCTCTACCAGACCAAAA